AGTAATTTCTTTGTTTTTTCTAAGTTGTATGAATGTAAAATTTTAATTGCCATTATCCATTGAGTATCTCCAGTACTTTATATGAGACAATATTAAAATATGTAGTTTCATAGACTTAAACTTTACTTTGGGGAGTTTGTAGTACCTTAAGCCCAGTACCCTAATTTTATTATATTATTTTGGGGATTTTTGAGTTTTTGGTTTGTGCAAGTCATACGCTTAAATGGACAGACCTAGTATGGGACAAATGGGCTTGTGTTCTAAGTATAGGAGCAGTTTATTGCAGCTTGATATAATGGGATTTGGCTATAAATCATTATAAAACCTTAGTTTTCATTAAGAGACAGATAATGGATTGTTTTGGTGATAGCCTGTGTAAGCTGATGGTAACGCACAATTGAGTTTTCTTTAACTCAGTACAGAAATCCCATCCTTAGCTTGCAACTGTGGTTTAGGTACATGCGTGTCATCAGTACTACTATAGATTGGTAAAACAAAGCACAGTCTCAAAGCCTAGTATGGTGATAAGACTGACCATTGTCACAAGACGAGGCTATTTATAGAGTATTTATATGACCTAAAGTGAAAACAATCACGTCTCACATGCAGGTTTTTTATATTGGTTCTGTTTACTATATGAAGTTCTAAAAATCGTGCCTTTCCGTTACAGGACTGAGAATAAGCTTGTGATCAAAAGAAGTGAACCAGTAATGTTCACTAGATGGCGCTGTGGCCTCTGTTTGTACTATAACTGCTTGTTGATTTTGAAGTGATTCTGTGATGCTTTGGCGGGGATATAGTCTTGCCCGCCAATGGATCTGTATGCATGTTAAAGAAAGTTAGCTCTTCAGTAAACATGAGATGAAGGTAGATTGTGGCTCATTCTTGATACAGCTGTACTGTAAAAATACCGTAATTGAGTTTTCAAGTCAGCAGATATTTATTAAATGCTTAATCTGTGCCTGGTAGTATAGAATAAGTAGAAAGCATGATCCTTTCTAGAACACAGGATTTACAGATATGAAATAATTAGAAGGTAATAAAAGTATACAATTGAATATCAAATTGTATATATCATATGAACTTAGAATAAAAATACATAGATGAGGACCTTTGTGAAACTGATTGACTATACATCTGAACCGAAGCTGCAAAGAATAACTTATGTCAGAAGATAGAGTCAGATCTGAAGGGACCTCAATGGGCTGAAACGATGACATTCTAACAAGACGAAGACAAACATCCTTTACTTGTATCCTCAAAACCAACTGTGCAAGAACAGAATAGATGAAATCTGGCTTAACAGCAGCACATGTGAAACACTCAGGGTTGTTAGTTGACTGTAGGATCAACATTAGCCAGTAATCCTGGGGAGGTTCATTCAAGTTAGGTTGCATCAATAGAAATAGAATATGTAGAAGAAGGGAGGCAATCACCATGTATTCTGCTCTGGTTGCACCATATCTGGAATATTTGGTTGGACTTGGGATGGGGGGCAATACTTTAGAAGAAAGATGTTGACAAACCCTAATGTGCCAAGGGGAAGGCACTCAGGATGGCGAGCGCACTCAAATCCATCTTATTTGAAGAACAGCTTAAGGAATATGTATGTTAAACTTGGAAAATGGAACATTTAAGGAGGAACATGATAGCTTCCTCCTAGTAATTGATTGGCCGTCAAGGAATAAGAGAATAAGATTTATTTCGTGCATGTTTTTATGGGCGAGAACTACAAGGAGTGAGATTTCAGGTCATCATAAGGAAACTGTCTAATGATTAGACCTGTCTAAAAACAAATGGATTTTCTTAAGTGTTAGTGAATTCCCTCTCTCTGAGAGATAGGCAGAGTGACTATTTTACAGAGGAGGTTCAAGTATTAGAAGGATTTTTTGACTAAGAGAACTTCGAAGTGTCCTCCAACCATATTGTTTTAAGATTGCAGTATAATCTGCTAAAATCTGTAATAATCAAAGAAGATTTTGTGTAGTTTTTTAGTTCACAGGTCATTGAATTTTAGAACTAAAGGGACCCTTACAAATCATTATTAATTTCTTTTAAAAATCAAATTCGTTGAAGTGTAATTTACATAAAAGCACTCATTTTAAGTGTGTAATTAGATGATTTTGACAAATATGTACCCCAGTGTACCCAACAACCCAATCTAAATATAAAATACTTTCATTATCCCAAAAGATTTTCTCGTGCTCCTTCCCAGTCAGTCACCATGTCCACTCCCAGCCTCAGGCATTGACCGATAGGCTTTCTGTCACTATCAATTAGATTTATCTTTCCCAGCGTTCCATATAAATGGAATCGTACAGTACGTGCTTTTTGGGTATCTTGCTTCTTTCATTCAATATAATGTTTTAGAGACTCACTCATGTCGTTGTATATATCAATAGATTGTTCCTTTTTATTCCTGACTAATGTTCCGTTGCATGGATATACTGCAGTTTGTTTATTCAGTCATCAGTTGAGGGCATTTTGGTTGTTTCCAATTGGAAGCCATTATGAATAAAGCTATTACGAACATTCAAGGTAGAAGTTTTCGTATTGATATTTGTTTTAATTTCTCATGGAGAAATATCTAGAAGTGCAATTGCTGGGTCATATGGTAAGTGTGTGTCTGAGTTTATAGGAAACTATTGAGCTGTTTTCCAGAGGAGATGTGTCCTTTTACAGTCCTGTCAGCAGTGGATAATAATGCCACTTCATCCACATCCTTGCTGCACATGATATTCTCGGTCCTTTTTAACTTTCATAATTCTAGTAGGTGTGTTGTGGGTTTTATTTAATGGAGTCAAATTTATTATATTTTTATGGTTTATGTTTATCGCGTACTAAGAAATCTTTCCCTGTCCTGAGGTGGAAAATTTTTCTGCTGTGCTTCGTTCTGGAGGTTTTATAGTTTTTGCTTTTGTGTTTAGGCCCGTAGTCCATTTTGTGTTAATATGTGTGCATGTATGCGAGAGAGAGACAGAGACAGACTGAGGGGAGGGGAAGCAGGCAGAGAGGCAGAGAGAGGTAGGAGCAGAGACGCAGTGAGATATAAAGATCAAGGTCCATTTTTTCCCATATAGATACATGTTGTTCTAGCACCAGTATTGAAAGACTCTCCTTAGCTAATTGAATTACTTTGGCACCTTTGTCAAAAATCAATTGATCATGAATATTTGGATCTACTTCTGTACTCTATTTTGTTCCATTAATTCTATGTGTCTATCCTTATGTTAATACTTCCCTCCCTTGATTATTGTAGCTTTATAGTAAGTCTTTAAATCAAGCGGAGTCAGTCCTCAACTTTGTTTTTCAGAATCTTTTGTCTACTCTAAGTCCTTTATATTTCCACATAAATTGTAAAGTTAGCTTGTTAATTACTATAAAAAATGCCTGGTGGGTTTTTATTAGGACTGCATTGAATCTATAGGTCAATTTGAGGACAGTTAACATCTTAATATCATGTTCCAGTCTACTAACACAGCATTGCTCTCTATTTAGGTTTGCTTTAATTTCTCTCATCCATATCTTATAGTTTGCAGCAAAATCTTACACATATTTTGATAAGTTTTTCTCAAGAATTCATGTTGTGACAATATTGCAAAGGGTCTCACTTTGGTTAATTTCAGTTTCCAATTGTTCATTGCTAGTATATAGAAATTGATTTTTTTAATTGTGAGAAAATTTACCATCTTAACCATTTTTAAGTGTAGTTTTTGCTTTGTACATCCTTTCTACTGTATGTTTGCTCTGTATTTCAGCAATTTATGCTAGTATCTTTATAGTTTTCTTCTTTCTATTTTTTCAGATTCATCTTGCAATTCTTTTTCTAACTCCTCGAGACAGATCCTTAGCTCATTAATTTACAGTGATCTTGAAATATATTTATTACATAATATACTTAATACACTTTCTTCTAAGTACTGCTTTAGCTGTAGCCCATGATATTTTAAGTAAATTTTTATTGACGTATAACCTATATAGAGAAAAATAAACAAAATGTAAGTGTACAGCCTGATGAATTATCACAAAGTGGACAAACTCTTGTAACCACTGCCCAGAAAAGAATTAGGACATAACAGCCTTACTGAATATCCCTCATACTCAGTCCACAAGTTTTGATATGTAATATTTTTGTCATGCAATCAAAAGTATTTTTCATTTATCCTTATGGTTTCTTCTTGAAACCAGGAATTATGTGAAAATATTTCTAATTTTGAAACACATGAGGATTTTCTTGACATCTATTTAGTAATTGATTTCTACCTTAATTGCATTGTAATTGATTTTGGGCTGTTGAACTTGGTTGAGATTTGCTTTGTGACTAGGTATATGGTCCATTTTTGTAAATATTCTGTGTGTGTTTAATAGAAATTTATTTTCCAAGTCTAAATTTTTTCTCATCCATTTTATTTGAATCTTCTGTATCCAAGATCATATTTTGTGTGATTATCAATTACCGAGATATAAGGTGTTAAAATGTCCTATTATAATTTTGAATTTATCTATTTCTCCATCTAATGTCATTTTTGCATTATATATTTAAGGCTATACTTTTCATGCATACAAATTTAGAACTGTTAATATATTCTCATTAATTGCAGTTTTTATTGACGTGAAACAATTCTCTTTATTTCTGTTATTTCTTTTTACCTTAACATCATTTTTGTCTGATATTAATATATTCACACTAGCTTTCTTTAGTTAATATTTTGCTTGGTAATTATTTTACATATATTATCAGTTGATTTTGGAATTAAAAAAATGTTACCCAACATGTTTGGTTGTTTTCAGTAGGGGGTTCATCTGACACCTACAATGTTTTCAGAAGCAGGACTCATTGTTTCTAGCATTTTAACAGAACAGTGTTCTTTAAAGACTTTTCTTAGATTCATGTCTTGTTATTATGAGTATCACTCAGCCATTATGACTGTGTTAATATTAGTGAAACACAGTAAGGACTTCTTAGAAGCTTTTTAAAAGAAACTCAATATTTTTTTCAGGCTAGAGAAGCAGTGGAAGAAGCTGAAAAATATGATCCTGGAAATATTTTCACTCAATTTTATGTATTCAAGATTTCAGTCATCGACGGCAACACAGACAGAGGTATAAATGTTATTTTTGACTTACATTTGACTGTTAACACTAAGACTATATAATCCTCTTTGAGCATAATAGAAAAAAAATTGTAAGGCAGTGAAGCTTATATATATATATATATTTTTTTTTTTCTAGCTTTCCTAGATAAAGATAATATAACCATGCAAAAAGAAACTGTGGAAGTTTACATAAGGATAAAAAACAGGGGCTACCTTGAGGGGGTAGGAATAGGCAGATGTGGGACCAGAATTAGGGGTGCAATCTTGTCACTGTGTACTTTGTCAAAGTACTTTTTTGTACTTTGTTATTTGAACCAAGCTATTCAAAAATTAAGTTTAAAAAGCTGTGGGGGATAGGACGAGAAGAATTGTCTTTAGAGAGTGGAAGTCTCCAGGGTGCCGTTTGAGTATTTTCACTTATTTGGGAGGAGATTGATGGGAGATTTGGCCTTGAAATGGAGTTTCTCTCCACGAAGCTGACAGTGCTAGAATTACTCACATGACCTTGGTCCCATTAGCACCGTGTCCTTTTGGTGAGGTTAGGCAGAGCTCCCTAGCTTGTATGTCTGCATGCACAGGTATCTTGACTTGATTACAGACCTGCCTGTGCTGCAAACTTATTCCCGTTCAGCCTTCAGAGTAGCTGAGTGCATCCTGGAGCAGTTTGAGCTCCAGTCTGGTCGCTCTTTGTCAAGGACACAGGTTGAGAAATTGAGAAGCTTGAATTAATGGATCCAAATGGAATTTATACTAATCTAATTAAGCAACTATTTATGAATACCTGTTATGTGCGATGGACTCTGGTATTCAATCCATAAGAAAAAGGAAGATGATTTATTCTGTACTGAAAAAGAAATATTCAAGAAGAGTAAAGTAATACCTGTATTTTAATTAAGGAGTAGCAAATTGAAATTGGCTCTTTTTCAGGATAACATTGCTGTCATGTCCATCATCAGTGTTTCATTAGAGACTTTGCTACATTATATTGTAGGATAAAAGAATCTGAAAATTTTTGCCAGCAGCAATGGCAAAAAAAAAAAAAAGATTTCTTATTAAATCTTTTTTTTCAGCATTCTATTAAAATAAAATCATTTTACTTTTTAAACATAGCATCAGCTCAATCTTTTTATTTTTTCGCTAGTTATCTGTGACCATTTTAAAGTCATGTTTATTAATGATACATATCAAATTTACTTTTGCCTAGTATATGATTCTGAGGTTTATTTATATTAATAATTCTGAATTTTGACAAATGCTTATAGTCATGTAACCACCATCACAATCAAGATGCAGAAAAAAAAATTACTTCAGGCTCCCTTTTTTTGACATTCAATATTATTTTATATTAGTTTCAGATGTACAGCGTAGTGGTTAGACAGTTATATGATTTACAAAGTGATTCCCCTGACTGGTCTAGTACCCATCTGGCACTGTACACAGTAATTACAATATTATTGACTGTATTCCCTGTGCTGTACATCAATTCCCTGTGACTATTTTGTAACTCCCTCATAAAATGAGTTCCAAAGTCATTGTGATAAAATTAACCATTGCTAGCTATTATCTTTGATAAGAGTCTTTGAGATTATCTTTGATCTCATTTTTTGAATTGTTTCCTTGTTTTCCAGCTTTGGAGGCAATTATTAATTTAGAGAGCTTAATAACACCTGGAGAGGGAAGAGGAGGGTATAAGCTTGTTAAGGAGAGAAGTACATCTATCATGCTCCTCGGTTTAGCGGCCCAGTTTGCGCTAGAGGTAATTCTTAAGAATCCATTTTTGAGATTTTTAACTCCTTTTGATTTTCAGAGACATCTAATGGCGTCGTCACCAATTAGGCACAGGGCATGACTTCCTTCACTTCCTTTACTGTTTTGCCTCATAGTTTTCACACCAAGCTTGGTTGCAGAGTTGCTTTATTTCTCTTCATTTCTTTATAATGTAAAGTAAATGAAACAAAGTGAGGTAACAGATTTGTGCTTAAAACTACAGAAAAAAACAAACAAACATAGCAAAACGTTAATTTTAAAAAGAAACTTAAAACACTATAGCATGTAAATAAATATAGTAGTTATCTATTTGGAAACTTATCTTTCTCATCAATTTAGGGAAAAAAAAACAGTTTAAAGCTCTGTGGACCTTTTTAGTTCTTAACCACAGAACAACTTTAGATGAGAAATAATAAAATACTCGCAGCTCTGTTTTGTACTTACAAAATTCTGGTCTTCCTAGTATATAAGATTTGGAAAAGCAGAGCTCTTGGACTCGGTGATAGACTAGATTTGAGTATTGGCTCTACCACTGAGGTGCTTAACTTCTTTGTTTCTTAATTTCATCATTTGCAAAATAAAGATAATACCTACCTCCGGAATTATTGTGAAAATTAACCGAGAAGATGGCCGAACGTGTAATTTTTAATCTGTGAAGCTCGATCTACAAATATAGTGTTTCTGTTCTTACTAACATATGTACAGCCTGGTCACAGCAACTATCTCTTCTACTTTATATCATATTACTCCCCTACATCGTCGTCATATGTCCGATGGTGGGGCAAAGGTGTAACAGCCACCATAACGAGAAGGTATTTTAAGAGCGAAAAATGAAGCAAGCAACTCCATAGAATGTCACAGAATTATTTTTAGGTTGATTTACTTACAGGAAGATTGGGTCTGAGCGGAACAGACGATCCAGCAATTCTGCACAGGTTATTGTCCACCACCAGCCCCTGTTACAGTCCTTTCTTATGGTATACTTGAGTACTAATGACTGACTGGATAAAGGGACAAAGAATGCAGTAGTGCCAGGGGCCATACCTCCTGGCGGTCTTGTGATAGATGTTTGTTTATAATCGATACTATTACCAGATTGATACTTATTTCCGGTATCATGCCATTCTGGCTGTTCCTAACAAAAATATTTATGGCTACGTATTAAGGAATACAGATAATTGTCAACTAGAAGGCTTTGATATGCTTACTAAGGACAGTGAGGTTGGTCAAAGGTCACAGCATGAAACTTAAAAGGGAAATGAATTCCAGGACCTAGAGATGGAGTTGGTTTTGTTCATACCCGCATCGATACATCATAGTAATATAAGACACCATTACATTAGGCACAAGATCTAGAATGGTTGAGACATAAACCCTTCATCAGTCCAACCAAACACAATGTCTCTCCAACAGGCCATTCACATTTTTTTTCCATGTGTCATTTATACCATCTGATCCTTCAAAAAATGTTCTCACTCATTTCAGTGCTGCCTTTTTCAAAGCCCAGTCTGAGGTTTCCCTCCACGGTAGAGACTTCCCAAATTAATTCCAGTCTTCAGTGCTCTCTTTCTGTTCTGAATTTCAGTAGTTTAATGTGTATGCTAGTGATTTTGTCTTTAATCATGTATTCTGCCTTCCATTACTGATATGTGGCTCATCTGTCCACATTGAATTGTGAGATCCTTGAGGACCATATTTCTAGCACCTAGCCCAGCATCTTGCCCAAAGTAGTTACTAAATACAGTTTGAATGATATGTGTTTCGATGTTTAATAAATAGGATAATAGAACTCTTGGAGGAAGAAAACTACTTGGCAGATGCAGATATTGGGTGTGTTTGTATAGGATAGTGAGGAGGAGGAAATGAGAGAAATTCAGTAGCGAAGAACCCAAAGACGAATGTCTTTTGAAAGGAAGGTTTATAAATTTCCATTTGATATGGAAAGCAGAATAAAGCCAGTGGAAGAATTATGGAACTGTGTTTCTGAATAGGAAAATGGTTTTAATGAGGAGAAAGAATCAGAATAAAAAACCTAAAGTAGTTTGAATTAGAGAATGGGAGGAAAGATGCATGAAGAGAACCAGGAAATTGGATATATACCTACAAAAGAACAAGTATAGAGTCCAGTTTTCACTCACTACACTTGCTTATAAATATCACTTGAAGTGCTAGTGAGAATATCCCCCATTCAGCAATTATTTATTAAGCACCTACGATGTGCCAGGCACTCTTCTAGCCTCTTGGGATAAATAAATAAACAAAACAGTAATATGCCTTCTCAGAGCTTACATTCAAGGAGGAGAGAAGATAATAATAAGAATAATAAATAAGTAAATTGTATAACAAGTTAGAGGTTTATAGGTGATGTAGAAAAAATAGATTAGAACAAAAAGTATCAGGAATGGCGTGGGCTGGGATTGCTGTGTTATTATTTTAAATAGGGTAGTGAGGATAGGTCTCATCGAGAAGATGACATTTGTGCGCAGACTTGAAATTGGTGAGGAAGTTGGCCCTGTAGATATATATGGTGGGCAGTGAAGGCAAAGAGTATTCTAGGCAGAGATAACAGCCAGTACAAAGGCCCTAAGGTAGGTGCCAGAAACAGCAAGGAAGCCAGTTTGGTTACGGTCAAATGGGATTAGTAAGAGATGAAGTCAGAGAGGTAATGGAGAGTCTGGGTTATATAGATCCTTAGAGGCCAGTAAAAAGACTTTGACTTTTACTCTGAATGAAAATGTGAACCATGAGAGAGTTTTTCAGCAGTAACATGATTTGACTTTGATTTAATGGAAATGCTCTGGCTGTTTTATTGAGACTAGTCCATAAGAGAGCCAAGGAGACCTGTTAGGAAGTTTTTGTAGTAATCCAGGGAAAAGATGATGGTGACTCAGATGAGGAATATAACAATGGAGATAAATGATAAATGGTTGGGTTCTAGATTTATTTTTAATGTAAAACCAACAGTATGTGCTGATAGATTAGATGAAAGGTATAAGAGAAAGAGACTGGGCCATCAGATGGAGTTGCCAGTAACCAAACTAGGAAACGCTGCAAATAGAGCAGGTTTGGGGGGAAAATCAGGAGTTCAGTTTTAGCCATGATGCATTTGAGATGTGTCTTAGACCATCCCAATAGAGAGACGAGTAGTCAGTTGGATATATGACTTGGGAGTTTGGGAAAGAAGTCTAGGCTGGTGAGAAAAGTTTAATAAGAGTCATTAGTATATAGATGGTACATAAAACTGAGAGTGTACACGATCACCAACAGAGTAAGTATATAGAGAGTGTACAGAGAAGAGGACCAGAAACTGAGCCTGGAGCCCTCGAACATTAATGCTTTGGGGGAAAGAGGAACCTGCAAAAGGGAATGAAAGGGAATGACCCATCAGGTAGGAGAAAACAAGGATAATGTCATGTCCTGGAAGCCAAATGTGTGTCAAGGAGGAAAGGGTGACCAACTCCGTTGAATGTTGTTGCTGACCGGTCAGACAGCGAGGGCTGAGCACTGCCCATTGGAATGTACAGTATGCGGCTCCCTGGTGAGCTTGGGAAGAGCATTCGGATAGAGTAGGGCAAGAGGCTGACCGGAATGAGCTCAAGAGAGAAATGGAGGAAAGGAACAGGGCACGGAGTATAGACTGCTCTTCAGAGGAGTTCGCCACAAAGGGAAGAAAAGAAATTGGGCAGTAGCTGGTGAGAGAAGTAGGATCAAGAGGTCTGTCTGTTCATTTGTTTGTTTGAGATGGATGAATGAGAATATTATACGCCGATGGGAATGGCCCAGTAAGGGAGCAAAACGTTGACAATGCGAGAGAGAAAAAAGAATCGTTAGAGCAATGTTCTTGAATCGGCAAGGGGCGATGGACACCACGCATACATTTAGGGACCAACTTTAGGAGGAGGCGTGGGGAATCCGTCTGCGATGGCAGTTGTGAGGGCAGAGTGCGTGGTTCCTGGCGTGTGAGCAGATGTAGTGGGTGCGTGTGGACATCTGCCTGCCTGCTTCAGTTGTCTCAGTGAAGTAGGAAGAAGGTGATCACCTGACTGAGAGTGGGAAAGGAGGTATCGGGGTGGAGTAGAGGGTACGGTGTAAACTTATCACCCAGAAAAGCAAGGAGGTGAATGGCGTGGGTCATGTGGTTTGCTTGCCCGGCAGCGTTAACGGTCATTTGAGGAAATTTTAAAATAAAGTAGTTTTATGGGTTTTTATCCAACCTCTTTTCAGCTGCATGGATGCAGGCACAAAAGTCAGTAGAAAGTGGTTTAACTAGGCTTGTGGTTTTGCCAGAGGAATACAGAGGGGCAGGCAAACCAAGGAATGAGGGAGTGGTTCTAACTGATCCCCATGCTATTAAAACTGGATATGGCGGAGGACATCAGAGGGATGAGGGACAGTGCGAAGTCAGCAGCCTCAACGGATTGGAGGTCTTAATGCAGGCGAAGGGTGGCGGGAGTCATAGAGGGTGTGGGGCTCACGCCAGTCCCAGTGCTGACTGGGAGTATGGAAGTGTTGCAATCAAGTAATGACAGAGTCCCATGAGTGACTGTGCTAGTGAATGGCAGAGGCAACCGGCAGAGTGGAACTCAAGGAAATAAGAGATGAGGCTGTGAAGGAGATCATCTCTGTATATATCGAAAATGCCAAAAATTAAGACCAGAGGAGCTTTTGGAGAAAACCGTGAGCAGTAGATGGGTCATCAAGAAGTGAGAAGAAATTTCCCGAGAACTGGTGGGTCACCCCCACAGTGAGGGATGGTGGATTACGTCCTCTGATGACAAGAAACGCAAAGCCGGGGGTGTTAAGGAAATGATTTTAAAGTAGAGATGAAGAGCAAAAACAAGACCGACTCCATCTCTTGGTCTAGAGGTAGAAAGTTGCTGAGAGGAAAACAGCCACCAGTCGAGAGGGCTTCACTGCAAGCTGTGTCCTTGGTGAAACCTGGGTGTCCATCAGCGAAAGGCTGTGAGGGGACTGTCAGGGAAGAGGCATCTTTTAGATGGGATCTTGTTGACAGTGGACTGAGTTTAAGAGAGCGGAGTGGGACGATCGGAGGAGTTGGGGAGAAATGGGAGTGGGGGACAAAAGAAAGGACTTCCAGAGTCTCATGGGGACGAGGGCACTGAAAATGAGCTGGACCTGAGAGTCTGATTAATGGGAATGACGAGCACAGGAAGCCGGTCCTAGTGGACTCGGGGCGGTGAGGCTCTGAGGGGTCCGGAGAGCGAGGGCGGGGTTTTCTGGGCCAGTGTGAACCTTTTCCGTTCTGTCAACCAGTCGTGGATTCATTCTTTTCATCTTGCAGTAGCTCTTCTGAGAATACAAAATGAACAGGTTTAGATTTTTTTACTTGTCATTAATGGACAGGAATATAGATAACATTTTGTAAGTATCACTTTTTAGATGTAATTTAACATATCATATTTGTCCTTTTTAGAATCAACAGCCAATTGTGGCAAGAAGAGCTCTGGAATATTTATGTCAATATTCAGAAGACCAACAACAAGTCCTTACGGGTTTAAAGTAAGTAACCCTTTTCTTCTGTTCATCTTGACTCCTGGTCCGTCAACTTTACTGAAACGGTGCTGATGGGATCAGGCTGAGACAGTGCCTACTATACCAACTGTTTAGTATTTAAGAGTTTTTACCCAGACTTATTGAGACATAATTGACAAATAACATCGTAGAGGTTTAAGGTGTGGAACCTGATGATTCGATAACATTGTGAAATGGTTAGCACAATGAGGTTAGTTAACACATCCATTACCTCACAAAATTGCAATTTTGTGTGTATGTGGTGAGATTTACTTTTAGCAACTTTCAAGTGTAAAATACAGTATCGTAACTCTAGTCACCTTGCTGTACATAAGCTCCCAGAGCTTGTTCATCTCGTAACTGGAAGTTTGGACCCTTTGACCAGCATCTCCCTGTTCCCTCCTCAGTCTCTGGCAATCACCAGTCTACTCTGTTTCTATGAATTTGGTGTGTTTTTTTTTAAAGATCCCGCATATAAGTGAGATAATACAGTATTTGTCTTTCTCTGTCTGACGTACTTTACTTAGCATGATGCCCTCAAGATTCATACATGTTGTCACAAATGGCAGGATTTCCTTCTTTTATTTGGCTGAATAATATTCCAGTGTGCGTGTCTGTGCACGCCACATTTTCTTTATCCCTTCATCCATTGATGGATACCCACATTGTTTCCATCTTGGCTAGTGTGAATAATGCTTCAGTGAACATGGGAGTGCAGGGATCTCTTTGAGATAGAGATTTTTTCGCTATATACCCTGAAGTGGGATTGCTGGATCATATGGTAGTTATGCTTTTAATTTGGGGGGAACCTCCGTACTGTTTTCCATAGTGGCTGCACCAATTTACATTTCTACCAACAGTGCGTGAGGGTTCCCCTTTCTCCACATCCTCTCCAACATTTGTTATCTCATCTTTCTGATGATAGCCATTCTAACAGGTGAAGATGATATCTCACTGTGGTTTTGATTTGCATTTCCCTGATGACCGGTGATGTTGAGCCATCTCTTCATGTATCTGTTGGCCATCAGTATGTCCTTTTTGGGAACATGTCTATTCAGGAACTTTGGCATTTTTTAATCAGATTACTGGGGGGTTTTGTTTGTTCATTATGCTATTGAGTCACTATGAGTTTCTTATGTATTTTGTATATTAACCCCTTATCAGCTATATGGTTTGCAAATATTTTCTCTCATTCCATAGGTTGCCTTTTCATTTTGTTGATAGTTTTTTTTTTTTTTTTTTGGTTTGGGGTTTTTGTTTGTTTATTTGTTTTTGCTGTGCAGAAGCTTTTTAGTTTGATGTAGTCCCATTCGTTTATTTTTGTTCTACTTCCCTTGCCTGGGACATACCCCTCCCCCCCCGCAAAAAATACTAAGAGCAATGTCAAGAGTTTACTGCCTATGTTTTCTTCTAGGAATTTTATGGCTTCAGGTCTTATATTTAAGTCTTTAATCTGTATCAAGTTAAATTTTTGTGAGTAATAGAAGATAAGGGTCCAGTTTCATTGTTTTGCATGTGAATGTCCAGTTTTCCTGACACCATTTATTGAAAAGATTACCTTTCCTCTATTGAGTATTCTGGGCTCCCATGTCCAATATTAGTTGATCATATATACACAGGTTTATTTCTGGGCTCTCTATTCTATTTAATTGGTCTATATGACCATTTTTATGCCAGTACCATGCTGTTTTGATTAGCTTTGTAGTATAGTTTGAAATCAGGATGTGTGACCCCTTCAGCTTTATTCTTACTCAAGATTGCTTTGGCTACTCAGGCTTTGGTGGTTCCATGCAAATTTTAGGGTTTGTTTTCTATTTCTGAGAAAAATGACACTGCAAATTTGATAGGGATGCTTAAAGTAAAAAAAAAAAAAAAAAAAAAAAAAAGTTGAACTTGATTTTCCTCCTTTTCTCTTTTTATGAAGGAAAGTGGTTTACCAAAAGGGAACTTTTACATACACTAGTGAAACAGAGGAACGTGAGGTTAGGACATGATGACTCCTAATGATGTGACTGATAATATGCCAGTGAGAAAAATTGGAAGCCAGAAGAGTTCTGTAGCGGTTGTCCTGTTGGTCACCTGCACTTGAGGCCATGCTTCCTAATGCACATGGAGTCATAGATGTAAAAGTATCAGAAGGAGCCTTGAGATACTTGTAAGCCTTCAGTCAGATAAATATTTAAAGTTATTCAGGTTAGGTGGGATATTTTAAAAAAGAGTTTTAGGGTTTGATACTTTACAAACTACCTTATTTTGTCGGTTCGTAATGAATGCTGCTGCCAGATCCCTTCAGAGAATAGTCATCCTAGTTTATGTGGAACCCCAAGGCCGGTTCCGGGTTCCTCTATAGGAAGAAAAATAGAAAGACTTGTATACCGTACCCTGATGTTCTAGCAGGTGATTTGGGGCAGTGATATGAACTGTGGAACTATTCAAATTTGTCATAAGCAACACTTTTATTTTAAAATTATTTTATTTAAATTACTCTTCCAATATTAAAAATTGATGTTTTCATTACAACCATTAAAACAATACAAAGATCTATAAATAAAATAAAATTAATCTCCTTACCTTCTCTTTTCCCACTTCTGCCTCCTGGAGTATTCAAGGTTAATAACTTGGTGTATATTCTTTCGCATGTTTCTTCTTAAGCATCACTTTTTAAAAAAATTTTAATTGGTTTCAAGTATACAGTACATATATAGTTAGTAAAATGATCCCCCCGCTTGCTCCCTCCCTCCCCTGACCCTCCGCCTAGCCAATATATTAATGCTAATTGCATTCCTTATTGCCATGCTTCCCATCCCTGTGACCATCCGTCAGCTACTGACTTGTAAGCATCACTTTTTATATTACTTTATCATACAGGTGTTTGTTTCGTCTTGTTCTTCCAAAAGTTCCTGAAATACTGGCATCTGAAAACAGGTAAGTTATCTCAACAGAAATCATGGATTCACGATTAGAAAAATTATAGTAACTTTCAGTGTAAACCTTATATTGAGAGATGTATAGTACAGTGGATAGGATCAGTATAGGCTCTGTGGCCAGTCTTCCTGGGTTTATATCCTGGCTTCGCCACTCACTTACTAGCTGTGTAACCTGGGCTTCTGCTTCTCCATCTGTACAATGGGAATAATAACAGCACCTACCTTATGGGGTCGCTGTGATGACTCAGTGAGTAAATACGTGTAAATACTTTGAAGAAGAGTGCCAGGCACTTACTAACTCTTTAACAATGTTAGCTATAATTTTATTATGATATCGTGTCTGTTTCCTTCTTTCTGAACAGGAGACTTAATATAGACATGTTCCTTGCTTTCCCACAAAAACATATAACCTGATTGGCTTGTTGATTCTGATTCCGTATCAACTCAGCTGAGAGTGTTGCAATAACTTTCTGCTTACAGTTTTACAGCATAAGATATCAAGAACTTAACAGTTTGTGGAAGAAGTGGGTCACCAGTTTTTTCATTCACAAAGTTCATTACCTCCTATGATTTGAAAGAAAACTCTATTCAAGGCCTTGATTAGGGTTACCTTTCAGAGAAAAAGTCCTCATCTCTGCGTTCTCTGCTTCGACAAAAACTCTGCTTTTTGTGTGGCTGCACTTTGCTTTTGCTTTATATATTTGTATGTGGAGGCAATATATGTTTTCAACTGAATTCTTTTGGAATTATCTGTGAATGAGATAATATTGGATTGATGACATAACTTTTTTTTAATAATACAAATTTCACCCAAGCATATATAAGTTTTGCCTCTTTATAGACTCTATGAATCCGTTAGAAGGCAACTCAAACAAACTAAAAAAGATCTTGAGACCGTGGAAAATTTGAATGATGACCAAATATTTGATGATATTAAGATATTATTAATTTTTAGGCATATAATGGTGGTGTGGTTATGTTTCTTAAAGGAACTTATTTGCTAACACTTAGAGACACATCCTAAAATATTTATGGATAAAATGATGTGATGTCTAGAATTTGCTTCAAAATAATATGGATAATATTATATGGGTAAGATTGATGAGTTAATAATTATTAAAGCTGAGTGATAGGTATGTGGGAATTCATTTATCTTTTAGCATATAAACATCTTTGAAATTTTTCACAATGAAAAATTAAAAAATAAAAATGGGAACTGGAAGTCTAAATCTTGATAGGTACTAGACTGGAAGACCTCCTTGGGGGCTAAGGACTATTTGTTTTTATCTTCATATTTCTGGAATCTCGAATAGTATCTGACACATACTAGCCATTCAATTTATTTAAATAACTGAATATTAGTTTTGTAAAAGGAGATCTTTATCACTGGACTTACAAGGTGCCTCACAGTCCATGTAATTGTGACATACTGTCCAACCCCACTCATTAAAACCAGTTTGGAGATGGGGAAAAGGAAAGGGGTCCTGTATGAATTAATGATAAACTTAAATTACAGAATATTTTTAAAATGTACCTTTATTGTTTTAAAGTAAATACAGTAATAAAGAACATCTGCTACCAGCATTTTCAGGTAGAGGTCAGAACCTGATTTAACAAATCAATTAAACTAACTTTAAAACAAATAAGCCTAATGCAATGGGAAGAGATGTTGAATTGAGTTCTAGTTTCAGCTCTTTCACTAACTTCTGGTTTAGCTTAGGTAATAACAACTTATTTACCTGTGAAATTAAGAAAGCTGGACTGGATAATTTCTAAAGTCCCTTTTTCTGCTAAAAAATACTATGGTTTTTAATTAGCGATATCTACCTAAGTGTTAACAACTTGTGTGCTAAAATTTTTAAAGCACTTTGTCACTTAGACTATGCATCCTCCTTTTCATATTCTCATTCCTTTTTGTAGTATTTATTTGAATTAATGGACCCTTCCTAGATTATTTTATATAGTCACTAAATTAAATAGTGAAGAAGTTAACTTTAGCTCAGCTGAAATTCAAATGAATAAAATTTTAATAATTTTATATAAACCAGAGGTTACTTTATATAAGCCAGTATTCTAGTATTTATCCCTGAGACAGCTGCTGTATTTGTCGAAGCACAGCATGTATTATATAATACAGACCCTCTCCTGATGCAGCCAGTCTTATAGTACACTCTCCTCTACTCCCTATAACCTTCCTTAGTTGAGTTTGCGAGTACTTTCATATTAATTGCTTTAAGTAAAGTGCGATGTTTTCCTCCTCGAAAATGTATATACCCCTTAAAGAAGCTTGACAAAGGGTCAAGAGACCTGGGTAGTAGTCTTGACATTGTCATGATTCGCATGACCTTGGACAAATCATCCCCTCATTTCCAGATCTGTTTTCTGCTCTGTAAAATGAAGAGTCTGGACTGAATAAGTGGTTTTTAAACTATATTCTTCAGAACCATGGAAATTCCATGAAAATTCCATGAAATACCAAGAAGGCGAGGCTCTCAGCCTCCATCTACCACTGGTTCAGCCAGAACAGCCACCTTTTGATCTTTTCTTGTATATTAGACTTTTATAAAATTTGATTTGAAACAAGAGTTTTAATTTCCCCTCTTCAAAAACAAGCTTGAAAATTACAGAAATCACTACCTGCTCTCAAATCGTATGGCCCTGTAATATAAAACCTTATCGGTCATTGAAATTCTTTACTGAGAGTAGATGTACAAGGGGAAGAGAGAAGAAATCTGAGGGCAGTGAGAATGAGAAGCAATGTTCTCCAGCTGGGAAGCAGTGTTGAAATGATAGGTCGGAGCCTTGAACAACCGACTTCACGATTTTGCATTTTTGCATAGCTGTCAGGCATAAATGGGGTCTCTTTGTAGCGCTTTTCTATAGTAAAGCTTTGAAACAGTAGGAAAACACCCTTTTCTTTATTTTTTAGAAAAGAAGAACTGGATAGATTTTTGATTTACTTGAATACAGGTAAATATCTCCTTGGTCATTTTCAGTCCATCTTGCCTCTGTCCTCTATTAAATTCTCCAAGTACACTGAGTACACTGATTCCGACTTCACATTTGAGGTAAGCTTTATGCTTTTGTTAACATTTTCACAGCAGTCTACCTTGCTTTTTTATTAACAGGCAGAGAGAAGTTTGTCATCAGTAGCATTCATCGCTAAATGCAATTTTAGCTGTTTTATTCCAATTTGTTTAAAAGACATTTCCTCCCTCCCTTCCTTGTTGCCACTTAGTCCTAAGCTAAGAATTGAACAGCTGAAGAAAGATCAAGACAAATAAAAATGTTCTGAACCCTGTTAATTTTCATGTCTTCTGAATCAAATTCAAATTGTTTATCGTTATTTTGAAGCTGTCCATCTCTCTACCCAAGTCTGTGTCATCCCCCCATCTACTACTAATTCCTCTCTGTCCTTTTCATTCAAGCTACCCTCCCAGCTACATCTCATTACTTTTCCAACTCCACGCTTTCTTACGGAGTGTCCTTTTTGCCTAACAAGTCTTCCCATTTCTGCTGCTCACGTACCTACTTCTTTTTTTCCCCTAGATTCGGTAATTCCATTCCTAGAATTTTCCCTTGGAAATAAATGATCAGAAAAATGTCCAAAATGGCACATGCCTATTTCCTTATGTCCAGAACACACCAAAAACTCCATATCTTAGTAACTATTATTCCACTTATTCAGTAGTTGAATTTTATACTTCAAATACCTGTCAACGAGGTGTTAAATGTAGCAAAGTGGTTTAGAAACCAAAGCTTTTCAAAAGTGAAAAAAGTTGGCTGGTTGGCATTCTTATCTCTCAAAAGGACATGTGAGTATGTCATAAATGCTTTCTGTCGATGTCACGTTCTGGTTCTGTACTGTACCTGCTGTGGGAGCTCAGTAAATATTATGCTAACCTATCTACACTTTTCCAATTCTCAGTCTCTATTTCACTCTTTTTAATGATTGTTTGGATTCTTTATTTCCTTACACTAAATCATATCCTTCTACCTCAGATGTTGAACGATTGCTCTAATTAAAATCATAAGTCTCTCCAAAGATGTGTTTGTTCCTCAAAGTTTGAGTTCACAGCTTCTTTGGGCTTGGTAATTTTTTTTGTCATTTTAACTACTTTTGATATGCACCTATGCACATAAACACACAAAAAGAAATTTCTAAATTCAAACTCATGTTCGACTGTTTTTAAAGCTTGATTAACAACTTTGCTAGAGTATAGAGTTAAAGACCTCAACGTCAAATTTTCCTGTTTGATGCAGCGTACGTGCACCTTGCTAAGTGTTTTAACGGAAGAGCCTCAACTTCAGATTCAAGGATTAATGATGCTCATTGGTTTCGAAAAATAGGTAAAAGGAAATTCTGTGGGAGACATTGTGGGGTGGTAGAATCAACAGATGTGGATTCAAGTTCTAGTATCTATGGGTACAAAGATCACCTGCTTAATCTTGCGTTAATTATTTATAAAATAAGAACAGGTATATATACTTTGTAGGGTTATTAAGGGTTATAAATGAAGCAGTGTATGTACCTGGGCCATTGTAGGTATTCAATAAACATTAGTTTTCTTCCTTTTCTATAGAAATGGGCCTAAGAATAAAATGATGAATTATAACTACAGGTCTCCAAGGTTATGCTTCTAAACTTGGCCTAGAATGCCCAATTTATCTCTAAGTATGAGTCATCAAAAATAAACTACATTCGACAATATGGACGAGTCTCACAAACATAATGTTGAGCAAAAGAAGCCAGACATTGTGTACACATTGTATGATTCATTTTATATATAGAAAAAACAATAGGGAAAACTCATGTATGATGGTAGAACTCAGGATAGTGGTTACCCTTGAAGGGAGCTGGGCTTTGGAGCATGTTGACGGGGTTGCTTCAGGGTTTCTGGCAACAATCAGGATCATTCTTGATCTGGATTTCATTTTGTGAAAATCCATCAAGCTGTACAGTTAACAGTTTTGTGGAGGCAGTTACTACGGTGATAAGTAAGCAAGAGCAGTTAAGCAGCGATGTCACAAAGTGGACTATGTCACAAAGTGATTCTACATGGACTTCTCTCTGCTTTGTGGGGTTTACTGAGGCTCTAATCTAGGAGAAAAGAGAATACAGCAGGTTGTATTTCTAAGAAACTTAGGCAAATAATGGAAAACAGCAAACATTTAAACTATAGAAAGGTTTAATGACTTATTTTTCAGAAGTTTCAAAAGTTGTTTTCCGATACTTGTTTTGCTGAATTTTAATTTTGGTTTTCCAAGGTAAAGATCATGTTGAATGTTGCTTTATGGGGGCTTCCACTGCTCTGTGGAAGATGTAAATCTTTCCAGTAGTTTTCTTCAACCTTTGATTCTAGTGTACCATGTTCTTTGCTAAGTTTTAATTTCCATTCACCCATTTTAGTTGGAGCGCTTCTTGGTAATCCTTTTTTTTTTTTTAGATGGATTTTATTGTATGTCTCTGAATTTTAAAAAAAGTCAGCATAACCTCTAGTGGTCATTGGCCTGGAATTGAAGATTGGAAGTGATAGAAGTCTCTAAATTTACCTGGAAAAAATTCATCTAAAAACCTGAAGTTAGCTTTTTTAACCTCTGAGAAACTCCTCATTATAGTATTTTAATATTAAAGATATAGGTGTAAAGATTCTAATGATAACAGGTTAAACAGTGAATTTTCATAACTAAATTATTTCACATTAACTTTCAGCTTGGAACATGGCCGTGCAATGTGACAAAGACTCAGTGATGATGAGAGAGTTTTTCATGCTTTCCTATAAGGTAAGTCTCTTCTAACAGTATCTAATGTATGGACCACAACAAGAATATCTCCACTATGGCTGTAGTCAAGGGCTAAGTATGGAGTAGGATTGGCTTTTGATCTAGGAACTTGTAATATATGTCTCAGCAGGCATGACTTAAGGAGAATTTGATCCCTATAGGCTGTAATGTGAGAACATGAGGCAGGTGTCCCCATACCAAAATATCACTAACAACCGTTGTCATGGAGCCTAAAGTTCTACCATAAGAGACTTATTCCTTTGCCTTTGAAGGAATCCCATTCTCCCAGGGGCCCATATTAAAATAAAATTGTATTTAGGAGGGGAATACTATTAAGAAGCTGTCAATTATCAAAATATTAGGAAAGGTTATGGGTGTAAGTCTATAGGAATAGGTATCTGGGGACAACTGGGTGAAGAGGAGGCTGAAAAGCTTGGGCGTACTTTATAATTTTTCCTGCAGGAGGTTCTGTGTATAAGATCTGTGAGCTTGTTTTCCAATTACAAGCATTTAAAAATAGTTGCTAGCCTTCAAGGTAGAGGTTAAATGCCAGAAAGAAGAACAGGTATTGATGAGAGAATAAAAAGAGAGGGGTTAAAGACTATCGCTCATACACATCCAGGAGTGCGCAGTCTGATAGATGGAGACAGATTAAATGTTAAGAGTTTTAGAACTGGGAAGAACTGGGAAGAACTATAGTGATAATCTAGCACAACTCCCTCGTTTCATGTACGAGTAGCCTGTGACCTAGAGAGATTGGGTGTCTTGAAATGCTGTTGATTCAGTGATGGTGATGATTTGTGATCACTAAGTATTTGGGGGGATTAAGAAATAGTCTTTGGAAGTTTAGGTATAATTGCCATTTTAATTGGGCGAAATGAATTAGTTTTAGTTTTGACATTTGTGATAGCACTAGTAGGATTTCATGTAAGAATCCTAAGTGGCCTAGACTTTTATTTTAGTACAAAGTCAGGAGTTTTTTTTCTAAAGCTAGAGGATAAGATTTAATGATGAGGTTATGTCTGATGCCTGTCAAGATTTGACATTGTCTCTTTCAACCATGACAATACATGTACTAATTTCGGCTCTATTCAATGCAAAGGGGAAATCTATTTGCCAGGGGGAAAATCACTTAGAAATTACAACATAAACCAAGAAGTAGATCACTAGATGGAAATACAGGGCCAAATGACAGTACTTATCACTGGGAAAGATAGGAAAATTGTGAAGAAATGAAGCATTTTATCTCCAGAAAGGTGCTAAAAAACAATGGAAAGTAATATAAAATTAAAACTATAAATCAGTGTTACAGTCTATATCATTTTTAACGTGAGATGTGTTTTTCCAGCTGAGTTTTCTCATTCAGATGGAATGTTGCTGATTTTCATTCTGATTGTTCGTGTTCACCTGGCAGAATTCTCACTGTTCATTGATGTCCTGGTTATTTCTTATCAGCTGTCCCAGTTTTGTCCTTCTGATCAAGTAATTCTGATTGCTCAGAAAACATGTTTACTGATGGCATCTGCAGTTGATCTAGAGCAAGGGAAAAAAGCGTCAACACCTTTTGAGCAGGTAATGTGCAACCTTCAAATAAAACACAAGAGTTCAGTGTGCTATTTGGTGTGTTTGCCTTCCCTGATGCAGTTCTTTTTGATTCTCTTTAGAGAATTCTTTCCTTCCTTCCAGTAGCATCTTCATTGCAAAGGTTCGTAAGAGCTAATTACTTCCTAAGGGAAGGTCACATTTATCTTCGCCTTTTTTTTTAAAAAATTTGATATCGGCTTTTAAAA